TTGTTTACTGAATGTGTTCCGTAATATTGGAACGTTTAATTCTTAAATTGTTTACTGAATGTGTTTCGTAATATTGGAAAGTTTAATTCTTAAATTGTTTACTGAATGTGTTTCGTAATATTGGAAAGTTTAATTCTCAAATTGTTTACTGAATGTGTTTCGTAATATTGGAACGTTTAATTCTTAAATTGTTTACTGAAAGTGTTTCGTAATATAGGAGCGTTTAATTCTTAACTTGTTTACTGAATGTGTTTCGTAATATTGGAAAGTTTAATTCTCAAATTGTTTACTGAAAGTGTTTCGTAATATTGGAACGTTTAATTCTTAACTTGTTTACTGAATGTGTTTCGTAATATTGGAACGTTTAATTCTTAACTTGTTTACTGAATGTGTTTCGTAATATTGGAACCTTTAATTCTTAAATACCCCTTTTTTACAGGTTTTCGTTTGTATTTTGGTTCATAAGATAAAACTCGACCTGGTGACTTATTTTCAGGAAACATTGATAATAATTTATGCCTTCTATAATTCTGTAAATATATGTTTTAACAATTATCTAGATTTCACAATTATTTTTTTCGTATTATTTTATTATTTACTGGTTTTTTTTCAGTATTAAAAAAAACCTCGAATCTTCAATTTCATTCATAGTGTAGGTTTGGGTGTGTGTGACCCAAAGTTTTGATTAACATTATTACCTCTTGGGTAATCCTCAGATAAGCAGTAAGTCCCATTGGATGATCTAGTAATCAATCTTGCTACACCGAAGTGTTTTCTTTTTTTTTTGTATTCTGAAGAAGAAACGGTTAATAGGCAACAACACAAGTTTTGAACTAACAAGGAAAGTCAATTCTAACAAATAATCGGTTTATGCTCACTATAATAGAGCTATATACATGTGTGTGTTGAGTTTCCAGGGAAGTCAATGATAGATTCGATATTTGAAAAAAATAAAAAGTTGTTATGGTTGAAATTTAGAAAATTTTCGAAGTTACTCGCGAAGTGATAAGAATAACAATTACTCACATCAGTAAAACAACGTGTCTTTTCCTATCTAAGATATTGACCTGTCCTTGCAATAAATGTACATATTTAAAAAACCTACCAGATTGCAATGTACTGTGAGAGGTTCATGAAAGTTGTTTTTTTTTCTTCCTAAATATGCCAGTGACAATATAAAGATTGAAAGTACCCAAGAATAAAATTATTATGTCCACTGGACTTGATCAGTTATGGAACATTTTATTTACTATTTTAGTTTGTTTGTTTGTTTTTACCAAAAAAAAGCGGGTAGTAACATGTGACTTAACAGCATCTCACTTAATAGAAGTGTGTCCATCTTGAAAGTTTGTGTAAACAATATTTGAAAAATAAATCCTTCAAATGATTGAAAATGAAATGCAATTGTAGAATTGATGTTTTACCAGCTATGAAAATATAAATAGTATTTCTGTTTTTATCTTAAAGATGCCAGTAATGATTGAAAGTAGATAGTATCCCTAGTGCCCCCCCCATCCATTCCCCCCAGCGCTGAAGGCTATGAAATATATGCATTTTAAAATAAAAATAACATCTTCTTGACACATCCCGAATAATTCCAAGTTGATTACTGATTTAGCCAAATAAAAATAACATCTTCTTGACACATCCCGAATAATTCCAAGTTGATTACTGATTTAGCCATATTTGGCAGGAGGAGTTCCCCCCAGTGGCACAGCGATATGTCTGCGGACTTACAACGCTAGAATCCGGGTTTCGATACCCTTGGTGGGCAGAGCACAGATAGCTCATTGTGTACCTTTGTGCTTAATTACAAACAAACAGGAGGAGTTACAGGACAAACGAACGTACAAACAAAGAAACAAACTTTTCTCAAATTTGTGCAGTATTTCGGCTGTAATCAAACTTAGTAGTTATTTGGGTTAACTTAATTTACTCCTGCCTAAAAGAATTTCAATTTGAGGGTAGGCTGGTAGAGATCCTGATGAGTAATAAGATTGAATCGGGTATACGCGCGCCCCACGCTTGGTATTGCTGGCGCACGAAAACATAGCTAATAAAGGGGGGGGGGAGTATTGTGAGTTAATTGACTCTAATCTTGCAAGAAAAAAAAATTCAAGTGCCGCGGCTATTGAGGATTCCCTCTTTTTTAAATGGATAGTTGGATATGACCATAAGTTATCGTTTGAAAAATAATTATAATAATAAGATTATTTATAAATTATAATGTGTAAACTAAAACTTTATCATTTAGGAGATTAATTTATATCATTGCTGTCAAATTAGTAACGTTATGGGCTAATTAAAACCAGATTTTTCTTAAAATACTGTTTAATAGTAATGTAGCCTAGTGA